CAGTGTTTCAGGCAGACCCTATCAAGGTCAGTCTGACTGACTGACGGACGCACAGACGGTCGCACGGACGGACGTTCTGCCGTCAAACGATTTTTCCCTATAGGGAATCAACAAAACATGGATTCTAGCTACACCACGAGTTAGCGAATTTTAACTTTCCCGTATACATACGTATATACGGAGTAATATACGTAGTGTGACGTCATGGTTACTCACAGCGAACACAGACACAGAGCTTTCATATAACAAATATTTATTTACAAAGAAAACACAACAAACATTTACAATGAATTTCCACTTTACACCCTAGCTCTGATAGACCTACTATCCCCTGATCGCGGGAGCGATCCAAACCCGATTGATGATCGGTTTCAATTGTGGCATTCGCCACTCCTACTTCTGAAGCGCGCACAAAGCCAAGCTTCCGTGACCGGATATCACATACTGGGACACAAAGTCCGTACTGGCGTATCAACTGATGGTTTGCCTTGATTGCAGGAGCGATCTTATCCGATTGAGAATCGGCGTGAGTCGTGGTACTCAACCACTCCTCACCTCGGAGCACGCACACAGCCTCGCTCCCACGTGACCGCAGTCACCCAAGGACACAAAGTCCTCCACAGGCTCGTCAACACGTGACTGTTCCTGCGGCGAGCCCGGCCGCCGCTGCACCGTCTTGGCGCGAGTTTTGTGCAACTGCACGAGTTCTCCGACTGTCTCCAGAACCCACCCACTCCTCCAATGCTTTACAGCGCAGTTCTGTGTGGCCGCAGTAGTGCAATGCCGCACACTTCCGCTGCGTGTAGCCATCCCTATCCTTTCGGACAATCTATTGCTGATCTGAAAATAGAGAAAAGACATGGTCAGGAAAGACAAATAGCCGTTCGGCGCGCCTTTTGGCGTTGTTTACCGCAATTTTCATGCAGTATTGGCGTCTCGCCTATTGTAGCATATCTCTCGGGCGCTTGTACGTGGCCGAGGGATCCGGCTCGTACAAAGATAAATTTATTATTATGTCATTTTATTGACGTATTTAATTTTGAATAGAAATTTTTTGGCTAAGTTTTTAAAGTGCTCTTCTAGGCGCGGTAGTTTTAATGCAGCGTGTTAATTGCGATTCTAATATACATTGGCGCGCACAGTATCTAGCGAAGGCACGCATTTTGAACTACTTGCAACTATGTTAAGTGTGCATGCGCCGCTATCCCAACTGGGCAGCGTAGTCCATAATGGGCCAATCATGGTTTTTTATATAAGCAGGGCATCGCTGTGGACGTTTGCTTCGCTTATGTAATATGCGAAGTGCATATCGCAACATGCGTCTATAGCCAGTCTTGAACTGCAGGCGTTGCCAAGGCTTTGCTAGAGACCGTCGTCCGCGCTGTCGCGAAAGTTAAGCCGCAACCAGCGTGACGCGAGGTACTTTTGTCGCTGGCGCGCCATTCAATGTTTGAATTGCATAGCGCGAGCGGCCGCCGCTGGTCGTATTTGTATTTGCGTATGAAGAGCACTGCCGTGCTCTTTTCCACGTTCACTTTGATACGCCAGCGTTGCAGCCACTCCTGGATCTGAAACAAATGAGCATCCAATATTTAACGAGCAAGATCGATTCTTTTGGGACGTGCAATTACTGCCGTGTCGTCTGCGTACATGGCGAGCCTCGGTTTGGATCGAGGTAGGCATATCGCGCACATACAGGCAGTAGAGCACAGGGAGATTATGCTCCCCTGAGGCACGCCCGCCTGTATGCGGCGAGTGGTTGATTTCGCGTGCAGAACGTCACTTGGAACGATCTCGCTCTCTCGCGAGAAGGAGTGTACTATGCGTACAATATAGGACGGGAAGTTGGCTTCGATGAGTTTCCCGCGAGGAGGCCGTCGTGCCAGACCTTATCAAAGGCGCTGGCGACGTCTAGGAAAACTCCGCCAGTGAAATGTCGCTCGTTAAAGTTGCGCCGAATTCTGTCAACTATGCGCACTAGCTGATGGGTAGTGTTGTGGTGCGCTCTAAAACCAAATTGCTCTTTATTAATTAGGCCGTGATTTTCGGTAAATTTTAAAATTTTCTTAAGGAGAATTTTCGCGAAGAGTTTGCCGAGTGTAAGAAGACTGATTGGTCTGTACGACTGCGGCAAACTCTTATTCTTTCCAGGTTTGGGAAAGTTTAGCACGTGCGCGTGTTTCCATTGCGCCGGAAATAGCTGAAAGATGAAAATTGCGTTAAACAGGCACACAATATAGTTTATAGCACTTTGCGGGAGCTTTTTGAGAACTTCGTTTCTGATCCCGTCTGGTCCCGGAGCTTTTCCGCTCCGTAGAGCTGCGATGGCGTCGGTTACTTCGGCGACGTCCGTTAGCTCCGGCTCGTCGGTGGGGGCGTGCAGGTCCGCTGCGACCGTGCAATGCACGCTTTCGGCGTGCTCCGCAGGTGGCTGCTCCTCTACCGGCTGGAATTGCGATTCGAGGGAGTCAGCGAAAAGCTCCGCTTTCTACTCGTTCGCCTCCACGTTGTCGCCGTTCGCGTTGCGCAGCGGCGGGACTGAAACAGAAGATTTTGTTAAGGCTCGCGTTAGTTGCCATAGTGAGCTATCCTCCGGCTTTAGCTTTTTCAGTAGGTTTCCCCACTTTGAGTTTCTGTATTCAGTTAAGGCGTCCTATACACGCCGCCTTAACTGATTCAGAGCGAGCTTGTCAGCAGGGTGGCGCGTGCGCTGCCATTCCCGTCGACGCGATTATTCGCGCGATTATTCGCGGGGGGAGCTCTGCGGCTCGCTGCTCGTTTCGCCCGGCGAAGGCGGCCGCACTCAGGCTATCTGCGATAGCCTTCGCAAGCTGCTTTGCCCCTGGCTCGATCTGCTGCGGGTCTGAGATGGGCTCTGCTTCCGGAAGACGTTTCTCTAGTTCTTTCTGAAACAGAGGCCAATTAGTGCGTTTGCGGACGGGTGGAAGTGCAAGGGATGTTTGCGGGTCGCTGCGCCCTATCTCGGCAATGACTGGGAGGTGATCAGAGGAGAGCTCGCAAGCTGTGGTGAGGTGAACAGGAGTGCCAAGATCGCGGATGACGGCGATGTCCAAAACGTCCGGTCGTCCTGCGTTGACAGGGAAGTGCGTAGGTTGCATCGGGCCTATCACCTCGTAGCCTTGCGCATCGACGTAGTTTTTCAGCTGTCGGCCGCGAGGCAAGGTGATGCGGGAATTCCAAGACGGGTGTTTCGCGTTGAAATCGCCCGCCAGGAGGGTGGGGATGCGAGGGTGCGGCTCCAGAAGAGCGTCGAATTCGCTCTGTTCTAGAGACGCACTTTTCGCTGGTGGGAGGTAGGCCGAGATGATGCGCAGCGGTCCCTTCGTCGTCCGGACCGCAACCGCCGTGGCCTCGATGTGCTGAAACGTCGGCAAAGCTAATTCGTGGTGCGCGATGTCGCGCCGCACTAGAACTGCCGTTCCGCCGCCCGGGATTGCATTCGGGAGCCGTGCTGATCTGTCTGACCTGTAACAAATGTAGCCAGGGAGAGAGAAACGATGCTTAGGTTGTAAGTGTGTTTCACCTAGCATCAGAATTGCTAGATGATGCTTTGCGGCGAATGCGGCTAGCTCCGCCTGTTTGTTCCTGCTTACGATACTGTTGCAGTTCCAAAAGGCGAGTTGAGGCGAGCTGGAGCTGCTGAAAGGGAATTGGAATTGTTATTGTTTTCTATGGCCGTGTTAGCCATCACGGGGTGGAGGAGGCGGGGACGGAATCGGCCGCGGCGTCGGACTGACCCGCGTGGTTGTGGGCGTACTCAAGAAGTTTTCTCATTACCACTTGCAGCATCAGCCTCGGCCAGTCGCTCGGGGAACGGCCGGTGATGGTGCGGGTGATGGCGCGGATCGTCATGATGGGATCCACGTTATTAAGGGCCAGGTCTTCCGCTATGTTGTTCAAGAACCTCTTCTGCTCTTCCACTGTGTAGGTACGCTGGAAGTTAATCTCTTCTTCTCGTCGGTACCCACGTCGTCTCGCGGGCGGCTACCCACCCACTGGCTCTTTGCACTCCCTTATATACTCGAGGCTCACGTGACCTACTACGTCACGCCGCCCCCGCTGGACCCTATTGCTGGCCACGAGGGTTGGGTCTCCGTTCCTTAAGACCGGAGAACCCCAAAGCCTCGTGTCTCCCGTTTCCGCGTTCTTCCTTTAAGGAAAAACCCTTCTCTCACTCCTGTGGCGAGGAGTTTCCTCTTACTAATCATTACATTACTAGCGCCTAAACCAAGCGTAGCCTATTTCCAAATAGAAGAAACTATCTGGGTCGAGTAGAAACACTGAGATTTTGAAAAACGTTCTTCAAAATTTGGTGGTACTTTACATGAAGCCCTCCAGACACTTTCAAAATTTTCTCAAAAGCTGCTCCATTTTTTTCTTTAAATTTCTTGTAAGAATAGAGTAACATACACTTATAACACTAAGTGGCATAGGTCCGATTTTCACGGTTAGCTCTGAATTTTCTAAAATTTCAAAAGTATGATTTTTTCGGTGTCTTTTTACAACTACAAAATTGAAGATATAGATTTTTCTTTCAAATGTAATTTGTTCTCCGTAGTGAGTTCTTTCATTCAGTTATGTAAATTTTTTGAAAAAAATATAGTCTTCACGCTATATTGTGTGCAATATGTGCAATTTAAAAAAAATAAACAGATTTTCTCCAAAACCAATAGATTTCCTAAATTTTTTCTTTCAACTCTTTGTCTTTTGGTAGGGATAGTGCTAAATGTAATCTATAAGATGACATAAACGCCATGATTCTCTATTCTTTTGTTGTTGTTGTTTTGTCAAAAATTACAAAAAATATAATGTTTAACTTGTCTCTTACATCGTTAATATTTATATTACGTAATTTTATAAAACGTAATTCTCTATGAATCACTTACGCGCCCAGCAGAGGTTGCCACCCAAGGTTTTGTTCTGCGTTGCCACCCAACACTTTCCCGCCAAACGTTGTGACGTCATTCTTAATAACTACACTCCGTTCTACTACTTTCAATCGTCAGTGTTTTCAGCCGAAGACCTAAGGCTATAGTACCTCTGGTTCAAAACATAAACATATGTTACTTAATTGAGATCACGATGCGACGTTGTCAGGAATGTACTATTATATAAAACTCATAGTGCAGCTAATCTAATTTAAAATTCTATGTCAGGTGGTCTGGTTCCTCTTGTCATCGTTGTTTCACACAGTTACGAAAATTATGCACGGAAATGCTAGCAATTCGTCTGATCCCCGAAGGCCTGACAAGGAACACAGGTTAATATATTTTTAATGTATTTTTAAATAAGTGAAATACATTTTTTCCTCTTTGAAAGTGTTCCCATGATTTTGATTACTTCACTTTTGTTGCACCTACTAACCCCTTGCAGTGATGTTTTGTTTACAAAATAAATAAGTAAATCATCACAAGCTCATTCAAATAACCCCTTAATTATATTTGTATGTGTGAAATAATTTTCCTTTTCATGAATTGTAGGTACAGGCCTCCTGTTCCAACTACACAGGCAGCTCCGGGTGAAGACTTGACACCTGACTTTATGAATATCTTGGGCATGATCTTCAGCATGTGTGGCCTAATGATGCGGGTAGGTTTCATATATACTTGAATATATAATTTTTTTTGATCTCTAAATGAACTTTTCTAAAATGAAAATACATTGAAACTTTACACAAAAGATATAGGTTATGAGGTACCCTAAAACATTTTGCATGAGTGACAGCCATATTTTACATGATTTATACTCCCATAAAATGTTTGTTAATGAATAGTATGAATATTAAATGAGATTTTCAAATCTTGGTCCTGTGGAAACCTGTTGGATTTCTGCAATGATTTGAATAGTATATTTGTTTTAAAAGCTTTGTCAAAAGAAGCAAAGCTAAGGAAATTATACCATTAAAAAAAGTAATCTTCAATGAATGTGGCAATAAGTGATAATGTTTTACATCAGGTAATGTTATACTATTACCTCCGTTTATCTGTTATTTAGTATTCAGTAATAATAATAATAATAATAATAATAATTAATTTTCACATGAGTAAATTTACCTTCTGACAAACAAGTGAAGTAGATGCACCCGAATGAACAGTTGCTTGTGCTCAGGTGATCTTATCAATTTCAAGAGCAGCGATTATTGAAGTGCTAGTTACGTTTGACAAATGCTGCCAATGTGTCAGAAACATTGCTGATATAAAAAAATATAACAGATGCATTTGAAATGCAATATTCTGAAATTGTTTTATGTAATCCATGTACAATTTATTGATGATCAATTTTCAAGGAATGTCCATTTATAATTCAACTTAATGATATGAGTTAGAGCAGAGCTCAAGAGAAAGTGCGCAGATTGCACTTCCCCACAATATGTCACTAACAATTTTTAGCAGTTTTTTTGTCATGAAATAAATAAAAGAATGTCAGTACAAGACCTAGCTATTAAGCTATTAAAATTAAGGGATTAATATAATGGTTTTAATAGTGTTGATTTTTTAACAGTAACTGGAAACTGTGAAATAAAGCAAGTACTTAGTTAAATATCTGAAGTGTAAAATATTTATCTATGGCATGTAGATAGTTTTTATGCACTTGTGATTGGGCTCATGAAAGATTAAAATACAAATGGTTCGGTTTGATAGCACTAACCAGACAAGTTGATAAAGTTCATTTTCAGAAAGTGAGAAAAGCTGTTGTTTTGTTTTTAGAAATCTATTTCATCCTCCAACTTTAATAGAGAGTTTTTCTTTCCACTTCTGAATTGTTTGCTGGAAAAAATAAAATCTTGTTGTCATAGCTATTTTTTTTTTTCTAGAAAAAATCATTCTCAAATGTGATTTTTAAATGTTGTCAAAAATAACAATCCTTGATCTTTAGAGGTTTTTTGTTTTTGTTTTGGCTGCGACCTTCACAAAAAATACAAAATCATTTTAACATCTCTTGAGTTTGAACTTTACAGTAGAATTTGTCTCAACCAGCACTCACTGCTGTGCAGCTCTGTGTTCTCCTCTTTATCAAGACTGGAATTTTTGGTCCCGAGTATGTAAAACAGTATCGTGATAGAATGCCTTCATTTGGTTAGAATGTACACTGAAGTTTAGTAAAGTGTTGCAGAGGTCCTTTTCTTGGGCATGTCAAATTTCCAGATTCATGTAGCTAATTGCATTAAGTTCCAATGTATTTTTCCATGATGTCTGCTCCTAATAATAGGAGTTTGACAAGCTCCAATATAAGTGCTTTTTAGTTCATTAATTTCTTTGGATTTTTTTTTTTTATCACTTATTTTGTTGTCTTCTGGCATTTCTCGATGGCCATTGCATTGATTCATTTTACAACCTAATGTGCCTTCAACACTACATCTCTCTGTTGTTTTTAGAAACCAGAGACATTTCTACCATTAATATTTTCATTTCTGTAAAGAATTGGACAAGTCTGGGTCAGATTCAGGTATTGCTAGAAAGGTTGTTGGACTGATGTTTCTACAGTAAAACAATTTTTTCAGACAGAAATTGGAAAGTGACAAGACTGGCTTTTGTGTGAACTTACAATGTTAATTGATGTGTTAGATAGGAGAAAAATAAGTAGTATTTAACTCTAAATGTGCATTTTTGAGCATATCCGGTTATTTGCTCTCAGCCCATTAATTTTTTTAATGTCATTAAAGTTCTTCCTGATTTTCTTCCTTTTACTTTTCTCAGCTCACAATGTCAATTCAGAGTCTTTGAAATTTCTTGAAACTATTAATTCACTTTTTGACCTAGGTAATTTGAAATGTTGCAAATTTTGTATGCTTGAATCTAAGACATTTGGGAACAATTATAAGATACTGGTGTTTCATTAAATCCTAAATACACATGTCCTAGTGCCTCATAGTCAAATTTCATCTGGCCATTTTCAGATTGGCTGGAATCTCATTTACTTTCCTATTCTTGTTGTTACATGTTACTTGTTGTTACACCATACATTGTTACATACGTTCCAGTTTACAAAAAGAACAAATTAGCGGCAAGAGTTTAAGGATTTTATAAATAATTTCTATACTTTTATAAGCGTGATGCAACCATTTTTGTATGTTATTTTACCATGCTTGTAAACCATTAAATATTATATTTCTATTATAGTGAATAACAATGTAAGTTTTCCCTGAAATAAGAATTCTGTTGAATAACAATTAGTGTTAACATGGAATAACACTTTCAAAACTCCCCTTTGTACTGAATAATTTTAAAAAAGGGGAAAAGAAGAAGAAAGAAAAAATGAAACTATAATAACAACAAAACACCAACAATCCTAAAAATTTGGAAAAAGATAGTCATATTCAAATAATCATTTCTTTCATAATTTACATCCTAAATAAGTAGGTTTGTTTTTCTCCTGAAAGAGGGAGTGCCCTCTTGGTGAAAATTCCTCAGTGGTGCAGGTGGAAATACAATTCTTCTCCTCCCTATTCTTCAACAAAAACAAAAGTGTTTCTAATTTTAAAAAGTGAATTTCAAAGCTTGCTACAGACTTTATTTCACCAATATTCAAAAAAAATCTGTAAACAAATCATAAAAGTATGCACATTAACATAGATAGAATGTATTAGTTTTCATTTTGAATCAAGAGATTCTCTCTTTCTCAAGTAACCGGTATAGTGTTTATTGCTTAGGATAAATGTCTTTCAAATGGCTACTGAGTCTAAAAGTAGACTCCATCTGAAATATAATTAGAGGTGTAGAAAACTTTGTATTATGGTGTATAACAATGTATAAAAGTATGAAAAAAAAATTTAATAATTATGTTTATGATATCCGATTGCCTTTAAATGTCATTTGTCTTCTGAGAAAATTAAATGGTGCCTTATTGTTTCCTGTAATAAAGCTTCATGTGGTAGATAAAAAGGCTCATTATTAATCTAATGTAATAAAGGATACTGATGTGGTGTGTAGTAAGAAAATTTGTCAAAATGTTAAAATGGCAATTGGATAAGATAAAGATAATGTGTTTTACACATGGCTAGAAGACCTCCTCCTTAGTAATTATACACCCTACTGCACTCATTTATTATCTACTAACTTGTGCATAATTATCTCTTTTAGGCACTTGTAAGAGAAATTACTATTATTGAAATGTGACATACAGCATCATTATTTGGTATCTCATTCATTGCTTAATTGTAATCAGAATTATTTAATAGTGTCCCTATATTAGCCTTCAAAGGTTAAATGCTGTGGTTCATTTTAAAAAGATGCAAAAAGATTTTGCAATAACTAAATATTAATACTAGAGTTCTATGATAAGTATTAATCAGATGTTTGAGTATGCCTTTATTCTGTAATGTTATGTGTCATTTTATTTGGATGATCACGTGCTATTATATTTACCAGTCTAGCTTGTATGTTTATTAACTATGATTAACTAGTGGAAATAACATATTGAATTGGTTATTGTGCCTAATGAGTACAAGAATTTCTTCATTCTTCATTGTTTAGAAAAAGTTTGCTCTCAATGCTTGTCATTGAATTGAGAACTACAATTTTGTGTGGGATAAGGACCAGGGAATCTAGGTTCTCTCTATGGATTGAATACATTGATCAGACTTTGCTCGCATATTGTCTGAAAAGTTGAAGTTTTGTGGAATCAATATATTACAGCAACAGAATCGTACATCAGGGAGTAATGTTTGACATTACAAATTTTATGATTTGTTTTTTTGCCTGGTTCTCAGCAGTTGATCTAACACTAAAAAAATGGTAGTGATATCTACTGTCTTTTCTTCATAGATCAGAGCATTTGGTGGATTGACCACTACCTAAGCACTTCACGTCCCAAGGACAAACATCTCTGGCTACACTGGTGTGTGCAGAAACACACAATACATCTTTCACCTTCAAGAGGTACTGCAGTGTGCAAGGTCTTGTCAAAAAGTATTTGTATATTTGTTCAGTAAATCAAAAATACTTACAAATATGGCATCTCTCATCTGATGTTGAACATTCTTACCCTCTGTTGCTTTATTGCAGTATCTTATAACTCACAAATTCTTTGCAGTCTCTTATAACTACTGCATTTTATGTGTCTAATACTCTTAGCATCTTTATTCACATATTCATGCCTTGGAAATGTAGGTTCATAAACCTTAAATCACAGATTTGAAATTGACTACAAATGCTACATTTCAAAGATAGTCATAGTAACATTCTGAGCGTATTCTTTTTTCAAAGGAAGTGATTTCAGTAGGCCTTATCATATAACCTTATAACAGTTGTTTTATCATCCAAGTAGAGCAACAATTTCTATTACCCTTTTTCCAGTTGTTTTATTGGAGAGTAGCCTGATTGTTGGGTGTTAAATTTACAATCTTCACTTGCACGAGTCAAGTATGTAATCACTTCCAGGAAATTACTCAATTTATGTACTCATTTTTTTAACTCTTTCACTTTGCCAGCATTTACCTATTAGGTTCTTCAGTTTATCTTTAAAAAATTCAGTCCATCTTCAGTTTTGTTTTAGTTCACAATTTATGCGATCAATCTTGAGCAATTGAGACAGTTTTTTCAAATTATGAGAAATATTCCTGGTTATAATTAACCAGCCAGCTACCTCTTGAATTTTCTTCAATCATCTATAATTGTTGTAACATAGTAAACATACAGAATAAAAATTGGCTTTCTCAAGGTGTAGTTTTTTACAAGTATTACACAGTCCAGTCTAATGATAGGTTTAATTTCAGTGTAACTGTCTTGTTATAAAATAACTTTTGAATTTCATACTTTTGGAGTGTTAACTAGATTTAGAGAGCACTAATTGTTTCTTTGTATTGATAAAATCTAAAAACAGGAAAGTTATTGAACATGATAAAAGTACTTTTTGAATAAAGCTCATTAAATAAAATGAAAAGTAAATACTTATTGTTGTTACATATATTTTGCAAATGTTTCTAATAGCAACATCGTTTGCTAATAAACAAATTTAAGCAAAGATGTAGGCCATTTCTGCTCATCTAGCATTTTTGAGTTACTGTAGCTGCATTTATGTATTTATGATTGTGAAGGCTGAGATTCCACAGCCCATCCATTAAATTGATTGTTGACATAATGTTCTATACAAATATTGGCTTTTCTTTAGAAACCTTTTGACATGAGCCAAATGGCTATCTGCTGAAATCACCCAGTTGAGCAGTGGTGGCGCAGGTTGGTGAATGTACTTACTTTTTATTTTGTTTTAGCTTAAATGGTGTGCCTGGGTTGCCCTGTACTGTTCCTGCATAAGTTTTGCAAATTCTCGTGTTAATGATGACACAAAACAAATACTCAGCAGTTTCATGTAAGTTTCTGAACTATTTATGAACTTTCTAAATAAGATACAGAAATAACCTTACTTAACTTTCATAAATGTCATATTTAATAGTCTAGTAGAGTAGTGGTGAATAAATGCTGCCTGTATTCATTTTCATTTGAAGATCAATGTAATTGATCAAGAATTGGGTAGAATAATTTTGTGTGCTATTAACATGTGTTATACTGGTTGTAATATTTTAAAACCAGCCAAGTGGAATAGAGTTGAAAAACTCTTTATTGGAGTTGTGATTGAATACATGAAGGGAGGACCTTAAAAACAGAAGAAGATATTCAAATGGTACTTTTGTATTATGTACTTTTTAATTGTTTCTTAAATTAAAATAACTAAAATTATAGCACAGCAGCAGTGTATGTAGTTTATCACCTTATTCACAGTTCGTCTGTTTTTAAGGTCCTCTGTTAACTGATAAACTCCAATAAAGAATTGTAATGTAAACCAGTATCTGTTTATCGCACTGAGTTTGTACTGATTGTACATAATGTTTTGATAAAAATTTGATTGGTTTTTATTCATATTAGAAATATCTAATGTGTGATGAATTGTGTTGTCTAAAATTCGTTTCAATGCCATTAACAATTGAAAGTATCTAGGATTACTTTCACGCCAAAATGTTCCTTTTTTAATTTCCCGCCTTACAAATTCTTCAGAAGAAGAGAAAATTATGTAATCATGCTCCAGAAAAGGCCAAATTTCACCAGAAAAAATCCTACTGTTGGGTAGCTTACTTCTGGTAACGAAGAAGTGGATAAATCCTGTTGCTAAGTTTAGAAATGACTAGTGGTGCTACAGAATGACACAGACATTCCCGCATTAGTTTTCTATTTCCTTTGGTCTCGGCTAGCTACTCAGACTTGCGACATAGTCGTGGCAGTTGCCATTTATCACCGGCCAAAGAACATTTTTTACACATTTTCTTAATTTTTCGGTTTTTTAATTGTTGAGCGGAAATATTGTTTTAAGATTATTAAAGAATAATAAAACCCCTTCCTAAATGGCAATTTTCTTTGAAAAATTTGGAGCTGTTTTTAATAAACGAGCTTTTAAGCATTACTGTAAATTTGAAACTTGAAACTCTTTTTCACAAAATTTTAGAGTTTCCGAAAAACTTCATTTGAAGTCATTTTAAGTGCTTTACTCACCAATACAGTAATGTTCACAAATTGTTGGGAATGTGCAAACCAACAGCATGAGAGATCCTCCAAAAAAAATCACATTCATGCAATTTTTGAAGAAAAAAAACAAAAAGTACCCTAAAATGAATATTAGGTCATATTAAAGAGTGCAATTAGTACCATACATTCAAAATATTTGAAGAAAAAATATGGAACAAACAGCATTTAAACGTAAATGCAGAACTTTGAGCTAGTTTTCACAGAAATTGGTCAAGCTTACTAGAAATGTTATATGAAAATATTTAAAGCACCTGTACTTATAAATATAATAATGTGAACAAATTGCCGTAAATATTAACGTGAGAGGCAAGTAGAAAATTAAATTTGGGTAATTTTTGAAAAACAAACAAATAGAGAAATATGGCGTTTATGTCATCTTATAAATTACATTTAGCACTATCCATACTAAAGTTTAAAAAAAACAAAAACATTTGGAGCCGTTTTTGAGAAAATCTTGTTTTTGTAATTTTTTAAATTGCACATATTGCACGCAATATTGCGCGAAAACTACTAAAGTTTTCAAAAAGATGTACTTGACCTTAATGAAAGAAAAATTATATTTGAAGCAATGTCCCTATCTTCAATTTTGTACTTGAAGATGGAAAAAAAACTCACACTTTTCGAAAATGCAAAGTTAACCATGAAAATCGGACCTATGCCACGTTTATAAGTGTATTTTACTCCACTCCTACAAGAAATTTTTAAAAAATGGAGCCGTTTTTGAGAAAATTTTGAAAATGCCCGGAGCGCTTCATACCTCCAAATTATGAAGAACGTTTTTCAATATCTCAAAGTTTCAACTCGACCCAGATGGTTTCTTCAATTTGGAAATGAATCCTACGCATGCTTTTAGGCGCTAGTAGTGTTCACTGACACCTGACAGACGGACGTATTAAAAACAAGCAACTATTTCGGTATCAGGAGACCTCAAATTGTGTATTTCCGTTGAAATGTCGAATTCGAGTTTCCGGAACATTACATAACATTCCCTATACTACGTATATTACTCCGTATACGCGAAAGCTAAAATCCTCTAACTCGTGTAGCTAGAATCCGTTTTGTTGATCCTCTATAGGGAAAAATCGTTTGACGGCAAAACGTCCGTCTGTGCGTCAGTCAGTCCCTCCGTCCGTCCGCCCGTCCGTCCGTCCGCCCGTCCGTCCGCACGTCCGTCCGCACGCCCGTTAGTCGGTGAGTCCGTGGTCGACGCTAGCACTTAAACCGTTCAACCGATGTTGTTCAAAATTGATTTTCCTGGATCGATTTGAATGAACTCGTGGCTTTTGGAGTGCAAACCGATATTTTGATTTTTGAGTGTACTTCACAAGAAGTCTCAAACACATTTTCAAAATTTTTTCATAAATTTTGTTGGCCTCCCCGATTTTTCGAATATTGCAAAAATACTTTTTATTACTACAAAATCAAGATAGATACGAATCAAGATTTACGTTTTTTTTTTTTCTATCTTCTGAAAAGCCGCTCCAAATTTTTTCTTTAGATTTTCTCCACATATATAATAAGAGACGCTAAAAATATGGCGCTAGTCCCTTTTTTGGGTATTATTCGTTTTTAATAGCAAAAAAAATCAAAACTACAAAATTGAAGATTTGTTGCCTTAAAAGTTTGTATTAAAAATTAGCTATTTAATTTAATAAATAAGTAAATATATAAATAAACTAGTGGTGCTATAGAATTGCACAGACTATCTCGCGGTATTTAGTTTCCTAATCTCCTTAGTCTCAACTAGGATTTCAGTTGTGACTCATTCTCTTCTCAGATATCATCTTTGGTCGCCCGAAGGACATTTTTTTCACATTTTCTCCATTTTCGGCTTCCTAATGCTAGAACTAAAACTACCATACGCTTATTACTATTATATAAGTGTAAAACCCATGTACTACCGGGTACTAACCCGGGCGGGTATGAGGTGGTTAATTGGTGTTTATGGACTCTGATCTTCAGAGAGAAAGTTAACTAGTTTGAGTCTAGGCTGGAGAATGTTATTTCTCACAATTCTCTGTTGCCGTTGAAAATGATTGAGAATTCCAGAAACTTAATTGAAAACTGAAGCAATTTTAATCACAAATACTATTACTCAAAATAAATAAACTGGAAGTATATGTATGTGATTTTCGAATTTTCAATTTTTAAACAATTTTCACATCTCTTATTGGATTTGTAAAACGTATGAACCATCAAATAAATTGTCTTTCGGCGTTCATGACTATTATAGAAGTGCCAATTCCCTGTATAAACCGGGTGGCTGAAGTGGTTGAATGCACACGTAAGCTTCCGCTGATCGATTCCATTAGTTCGTGGCTCTCCGGGAGACGCCGCGTCGTTGGCTGAGAGGCCTCTCAGCTAACGACGCGACGTCTCCCGGAGAGCCAAGAAATTATGAAGTGGTTGAACGTTGGGTTCGGACCCAGCGTTTCGGAGGGAATGATCGCTGGTTCGAGAGTGGCTCTGGGATAATTGTCACCTCAGAAACACGGAAAACTTGAGAGAATTTCAGGAACTTTATTCAAAATCATTTGAAACAATTCTACTCACATATACAATTTTTTATGATTCTAAATAAACTAGAGGTGTCTGTATGCCATTTTCGTATTTTGAAATGTTAAACAAATTTACAACTCCCTTGTTCTCGTTGTAAAACGTATGTCATGCCAAATCAATTGTTCAATATTCAGATATTATAATATTGTATAAATATAATATGTAATATTATTCATATCAATATAATATTGCATAATGTTTGGAAACATTGTGAGAAAGTAAGTGCTTTGACAGCACTGCTAGTTTAAAAAAAATAATGTATATTGCAGTAAAAACAAAGAAATGCTTTTTTTATATGACTGGAAGTTAATAACAAATAAAATAACTCCTTACTAACAGTCAAAAAGAAATGTTTCAAATTTTGGATGAACATGACAAAAATTGTTTGGAAAGTGGAATTATGAGGTTAAAAGTATCGAGAACAAATCGTGTTAGCCGACTACAAGTTGAGTAGAGAAATTTATAATAAATGCAGAAATTGTATTTGCTTTGTACACCTTGTATACTAATCCTGTTGAGAGATGTGATGAGACTATCTAAAAGCTTTGGTAGATAATTTTTCTAATCGCTCTAATAATAATAATAATAATAATAATAATAATAATAATAATAATAATAATAATAATAATAACAATAGTAATAATAGCAACAATAATAGTAATAAATAATAATAATTATTTCTAATTAAATGAAATTTATATATAATAATCAATATACTTAGATGTTTATTCATTGTATTTCTAAAGATGGTTGTTTTGTTCATAATTGTTGAAGATGAGAATAACATTTAGAGACTAATATATTGAATGGTGGGTGGCTGGGTATATGGCTAGAATCTGTTGCTGTTTGTAAATACTATCCAACGTGAGTGTAGAAAGATGAACACGAATGTATTAATTCGCTGTGAGGAACATTCTATACTGAGGATTGTTAGAATTGCAGTAAGTTATCATCTGTGGTTTGTATTGGGGAAATCGTTTAATGATTATAATATTATTCGAAATGATTTTAAAATATACCAGTTATGTATGTACTCATAGTTTTAAAGATATTATATTTTAAAGGAAACAATCAGATACTGTGTTATGAAAACAGTTCATTTTAAAAAATGAAATGAAAACCTTTGTTTCTCTTGTACTTCTGTTTGATTTGAGTGTACTTGTATTGTTCAGTTTTTTGCAAAATATTCTAAAGTACGAATTAACACTTATAACAATTTTTACATCTTCTATTGTTTGTTTTTGCAGGTTGTCTATTTCTGCTGTTGTTATGTCGTACCTACAGAATCCTCAACCAATGAGTCCACCATGGGCTTCAGTACTTCAATGACAGTAAATGTATACCGGTATGGTATATTGATTGTGAATGCAGATTGTGTTCATTAACAATTTTTTAAATTCAGTGGAAATCCTTTGTGTATATAAATACGAGAAATAAAGACTAAATGGCTCTTCACAACTTTCTTTTCTTGAGTTGCAAGTAGTTCTTTAGATGACTTTTTAAAAATCTTTTTATGTAAATGTTCTCACCATATTTTCTGTGTAATTGAAAGAAAAAATTAGGTTTTATTTGAATAAGGTGATTAACAAAGTTTTCAGAATGTCATCCCCAGATTAATCACATATCCTAAAAGTAATGTTCGGAAAAGAGCAGACAGTGTCCAAATATTTGGAATACCTGGGAAGTCTGAGATTATGAATAAATTTTACACATAAAATGAGTCAAGAATAAAAAAAAATCATTGGAATTAAATGCATTGTGTATGCTAGAGTTGCTGCAAGCAAAAAAATATGTAAAATGAAGAAAAGAAAATTGAAAACTAGATATAACACATCTCACAGGAAAAGGAAGCCAAAAGAATTAGGAACACACACACTCAAACATTGTTATTGCATTTTTGGAGATCTATGCAGCCACCACAGTCCATTGACCTTCACTTCGTCAGATGTATCTCACACCTCATCCCTTGATTGTAAACGATTTTTGTATTAAAATTATTGAAAATTAAAAGTAGTATCTAAATTGGTGAGTTTTGATACAGTTTTTAGCGTAACTAACATGCACTGTTTTCAGAAAAGTGAGGATCAAACACAGTGGTGGAGTTTGCAGTTGAGTGAAGAAAAGTTCTTCATGGAATTAAACTAAATCTTTAACTTCGTGCTCCGGAACTTGCTTCTGGATCAATTTTCTTATTCCAAGTACAGCTCGTACAATATTAAGAAAGCGTGTGCAAGGGGTGTGTGGCGTGTTGGAAATATTTAGTCAGTTACAAAAAGAAGTGCTTAGAGTTCAAGAACATACAGAAATAACCTCCATGAAATGTGGAACAAATTTATATTTACTCACGAAAGTTCGTTTCATATGGGAGTTGTATAGTGTGGTGGAGAAATGAAAACGATTTCAAAAAACGAGCCTCCAGCCAGAAGTGACTTGTTTAGAATAACGGGCCCTGTCCCAGAAATATACAGCCCCTGGCAAAGGCCTCTGGTTTTGTCTGGGCGCCCCTGCTATAGATAGGCAATAGAGCGCCCTAGGACACGCCTCTCGCCGACTCTTCGACGCCTGCGGCTCACGTTCCCAGCAGCCGGGAACCTCGGACATGGATCGTCGCGATTGACGAGTCCCGCTTCTGCCTCGGTGGCGACGGCCCTTGGGGCCGTGTGTGGGAGCGCCATACAATCATGACCCACCTGCCTGATGTGATAGTGCGGGGGCGCGATATCCTGTGGTGCCCATTCACTGATTATATTCCTCGCGGGCACCATAGCCGCAAGGCACATTCGGGAGGCCCTGCGAATAGTGGCTGTCCTATTCGTGAACTCCCGTGCCGTATTAAGTCAACGCTCGTCCTCACCTCCGCCGCCTCCAAATCGAGCCTTGTGTGTGTGAGCGTGCGTGAGCGCGTGCGTGCCATGGTCAGGCATCGCCAGACCTCTTCCCAGCTGAATATTGAGGTGATATGCGCGCATGATCAGGATTCCATCCCTAAAAGCAAATTGCAGGAACTGCTGGCCCAGACGCAAGGTTTCGTGAGATGAATAATTCCAGGATTCCATTTCAGACGTACACAACTTCATTCCGCGATGTATAGAAGCGTTTCCGCCAAAATGGCAGCACGGCAGGTCATAACATGTTCCTTCTTTGATCGTGTACCACAAATGTTCATCATCAGCAGTAGCAGCATGAATTAGGCTGATCTAGTCATGTTTCAGCAAAGTTGTCTCTCTAGTCAACTTCTCTTCTTTTGCCTTTGTACTTCTCTTTTTTTCCTTTTAGGTGATTGTAATGGGTCTGCTTGGGCAATCTCTCATTGTTCATTCTTTGTAAGTGGTCTATCCAGTTTTTCTGTATGTATTTATCTTTTGTTGTAAGCTGGTAATTCCCAGTTCTTTTCTTATATCCTCATTTCTGACATGGTCCATTAACGTGCATCCTTTCACCTACCTCAGAAATCTCATTTCTTCTACATTAATTCTCCTGTTTTGTCTAGATGTTGTTACCCATGTTTCACATCCATACAGGAGAGTAGATATGGCCATTGATTTATAAAGCTTGATTTTGGTTTCTTCTTGTGCTTTTGTTCCCGATGTTTGTTTGATAGTGCCGCACATAGCCTGAAATTTAGATTTTTTGTAGCACATCAATATCAATAAGATATGCTATGTTGCATCCTAAATATTGTAATTTGGATTCTTGTTCGATAATGATGTTTATTACACACATGAGATGTTTACCTCTGAAAGCCCTAGCCTTACTTCTGTTGATAGATATTTTACAATTATATTCCATTGCTCTCTTTTGTAATTTAAATGTTAACTTTTGGAGGTCATCTTCACAATTAGTGACCAAAACTATATCATCCGGAAACAAGAGCGTGTTGATTTTAATATTATCCCTTATTGAAACTCCTTCATTGTGAATCATTCTTCCATTCTGAGAGAAGTGCGTGTACATATATATATATATATATACACCTATACTATCTATAACTATATAATTATATTATAATATATATTATATGTATAGTAAAAATACCAATTATATATATAATTGACAATAATATATAAAATAAATTAAACATATGTAGGTTGATAGTGAGGTTGATCTTGTACTTAACGGACCTTGATTATTATTTTTAAATTACTCCTCTTTATTAAAAGAGATTCTACATATAAGAATTGACGTTTCATCATAACAAGCTATTTTATTAACTCTATATAGTTCACTTGGGTATTCTCTTTCTTTCTACACATTGTCAGTAGTAGCTATCCCCACCTTCTCTACTCCATAGTCCGACATTCACTATTTTATAGGTTCTATGAAATCACCATCAAAATTCGTGTCTAGTCTTCCTATGCACTCTCATCCACTTCTCATCCAGCTTCTTCTTCATATACATTTTGTTCTTGCACGGGTGGACACTCCATCACCGCGTCACAGGCCTTCCTTTCTGTGAAGACTGACTCGTGTTCCTCTCTATACAACAAGACATGCATCGCTCCACGCCCTATCATGTCTTTGCGTACTCCTCTGGTTGTTATTACTTCTCTTAAAATACCACCACCTATTCCTTTCTTTATTTGGCTAGTTTCTAAACAGCCTTCTGCCCTCTCATACACCACGTCACTAGAGACCACTTATCTCCCCTTGACTTCTTCTCTTATCATATACCCGGGTAGAACTCGTCCTCAGCTTCGCACTCTTACATGGTAGATGAGGTTTATGACGCGAGACACACATTTAAAAAATCAAGAGTCGGAGTTTACAAAGGGTGTACACCATACTTCAATAGTTCTAAGTTTATTTATCCGTCTGGGCAAGCTATCTAACTTCATATCGTTGCAATTGCTAGATCTAGCTCATATAATGCTAAAGATCAGGTTTTTGATTTTCTTCGTAACATAAGGTGTTTCTTCCTGTGCTTTATATCGTACCCTAATTTTGAATGTTCTGTTCCATTCTTCCCCCTTTTACCATATGGTTTGAGAGATAGATATAAGTCACTCCCATCAATTTTTTTTTTTATATACAGAAATTTTTAACTTCTGATCACCTTCGTCTCATGCTTCATGCTCTCTACAGTCACTGCCGATAATCTCTCTTCCACAGGATCTGTTTCTTGGCTACTGTCGGTAGATCTTTATTTTATGCGAGAATACTGCGTGGTACCTATATGTATCTATTTTGTTCTTCTTTCTGCCACTTACGCTCAGTGTTGTTCCAGGAATCCTAAGTAGGTCATTCTTTTACTTCTTCATTACATTTATTTCCCAATTTCATTCATTTCCATGTCTTTTCAATCTTCCTTTCTCTTCGTCAACTCTTTTTCCTTGTAATAATGCTTCCAATGCGCTCATTTGTCAACACAATATTTATCATCATTCATCTCCTGTCAAATATCTTTTCCGATTACGCTCTAACATACTCTCTGCACCATCCGTCGTCTACACTCATTCCTTTGGCTATGCTACTCTTTTAATTCCTTTGTCTTTTAGAATGCTCGTTGAGCGAAAGCTTTTAGCAAGACTACCATCACACACATTTCACGCTCTCCATAGTTGTAAACCAAACATATTCAGGTAATGTAATGTGGCATGCTCTTATCAGTTCACCTACGAAAACACCTTTGCTGTGTAAACTAAACTGATAGTAAAACAACAGGGTGTAAGCCCGTGTTCGGTTTAGCTTACCTGTAACAATTTTTGGGAAAGACCCCTTTTTTCCAACCAATGGAAAAACGTTCCAAATTTTAGAAATTCACCTCAGTGGGAAGTTCTATTTTTTGAAAGCGCTTTTCCCTCGCCAATGCGCTATGTTTTTATTACCTTTGCTCTTAACTGTGGGCTTATTTTAGACGTTGAGGAAGATATAGCTAAAAAATAATTGAAGCCCACTTATTTAGAAAACAAAAAAGACAAGCAAATTTCTGGGATTTTTATTGGACTTTTTTTAAAAAACAGTAGAAATTTTAGGGTATCCACCGAGGAACTCGAGAATTTTGGAGCTGATTCAAGACTGTTGGTTTTTGGGAACAACAACTAGCGGCCTCAATTCTCGTACAATTGGGTTTCCCAACTGATAATAACTCCTGACATCCTAGGACTTCATAAGACCTGAATTTTCTTGGAATTAAATTTCATTAATTTTTTGGGGGTTTACTTTTTTAAGCCGTGAAGCCCGTGAATTAAACGGTTCCTCAATAATGCCCCCACAATTTATATTAATAAAAATTTTGGGTTAGAGAACACTATTTGTATTTTGTGGAAGTTTCTACTTAAAATCAGTTTTTCGAAAACTAAAACTTTTTTTCTGGTGAAAGGGCTTCAAATTTCCGGGAATTTTATATGTGGCACTAAACGCCCATTCTTTTTAAAAGGGCTTTTCCCAAATTTGTTTTGTTTTTTATTTTTGTAATTTTGCCCCATTTTAAACGGAGGTTTTTTACCAAACTGCTTTCTTTTAATAAATTATTATATAAATTTCACTCTCGATAAACAAAACGAAAAAATTTTACGAAAAGTATCAAAAATGGTTTTTGGGGGGCTGGCCGATGTTGGCAGTAGCGGACACATATAATGGCCCAAGTTCGATAGGCTAAACCGCATCTAAGGCAAATAAGAAAAACGAAATTAAGGGAAAACGTTCTTTGTTGGGCCATTTTCCGTAGCAACCACTAGTTTAAATAATTTTAAACATTATTAATAAAATTTGCCGGCGAAAACTACCACATTAATTTTTTTTAAAGTATGTACAGAATTTAGTTTAATAGGAATTAACTTTACGGGAGAAAAAAATTCTTTGGGAACAATTACAACTTTTATCTTCCAATTATTTGGTTTAATTGTAGGGTTGAAACACCCGAACCAATTCCCATCTTTGACGATTTTGACTTGGTTGTATAAAAGGATACTAATTTATTGATGATTTGAGAATTGCCCAAAGTGGGGTTTTTAAAACTTGAGATCAAGTGGAGATAATTAATTAATTGGGTTGTATTAAGTTGGTTAGTTCACGCCAGTACAACAAATATAAATTTGGTGTTGTTTGCATTTTCTTTAAGGGCAGGGATATTTTTTCTCCACACGCCCGATTGTCTTACACAACACTCCGACGTGTTCATCATATTATACGTGGACCCAGTATCGGGAACGGCCTTACTTTACAAATTCTCATACAATTATTGTCTTTATTTACAACACCGTCCGATGACATTAACAATTCATTCGATACAACGTTTTAGTTCTAAGTAAAAAAGTACAATTAGAGAACTTTACCGGCTCCGAAGGAAAGTAATATTTAATTTTAACAATAACTTTAATTTTTATACAATTTGGATCGTATAATGTAAAGAACCTGTAACAACTATTGTACTTTGGCTTCCGTGGTCATGACAACATTTGTTTAGTTTTGTCCAGTTCGTCAGCTGTCTGGGATCCTAGTGCAAATGCTGAGATCCTTGTTATGATTCTGGACATAATTGTAAATGCCACGTATATTAACTCTCCTTATCGCAAGTACCCAAGTTCTTGTTAACTGTTTTTTTTGAGTAAATATATAATAGATAAATATAATATTAATAATAAATAAATAAATACATAAATATAATAATAATAATAAATAAATAAATAATAATAAATAAATAAATAAATTAAATAATAATAATAAATACATAAATATAAATATAAATAAATTAATACTAAATAAATAAATAAATAAATAATAAATCAAAATAAATAATAATAAATAAATAATAAATAAATAATAAATAATAAATAAATAAATAATAATAAATATAATAAATAAATATAAATAAATAAATAAATAATAAATAATAAATAAATAAATAAATACATAAATAATAAATAAATAATAAATAATCAATAAATAATAATAAATAAATAAATAAAAATGAATAAATATAATAAATAAATAAATATAATTTATTAATTGAGACGTGGGAAGAAATTGTGAAATGTAAGAAGTGAACAGTTTGAGTGATTCTAAAAAAGAGTCAGAAACAAGTTGTGCAAGTTGCGTTTTATGTATGACGCAAGTGTAATCGAGTATGCCAAAAATACAGATCCTCAGTGCAGTGGAAGCGTTGCGGCTTTAGAAGCAAGGTGATTACGCAGTTTCGTCGCTGAAAAGTGGTAACTGAGGGATACGTGTGATTGTGCGGTGTGTTTCGTCGTGCCAATATTGCAATATTAGCAAAATCGTTCTTTCAAATCGGGGAGTATAAAGTGATCAACACAGTGGCAATTAGAAGTCCGCATTTTCTGCGATTTTTATCGCCCCGCACGCTTCGTCCTTATGTCTTGGAATATGTCTGACCGTCGGTTAGAGCCAGTTGCGAACTGCGCCTCTGAAGATTTGGCAGCCTTGTTGGAGTACACATCGGATGACAATGTTCCGGAAGAGGAAGGAGTGTTGGTTTTTTTGTCACGTATAGGAGGCCCAATCGGACAGACATGCATCACTCTTTCAGCATGTGCAAGTACTTTCTAGGGAAAGGGTAATGAGATTTTGTGCTAAATCAGATTTTTATCTGCAAGGTTGCTGAAGCCCCTGGTGGGGTGGGTGGTTAAAATTAATTGATAAGGACGGATGAAAGACGGGCACACGAATAACAGAATACACAAATTCCACCTATGAGCGATGTGGGACTCGAACTCGTGATCTCTGGTTCGATGATCGCTACAGAATACTGCCGTAAGCTTTCGGCATTTGACCGGCTTATTGTTGGTTATATGATAAATATCACAATTTCCATTTAACAAATTTTATTTTGTAAACGAAATAGTAGTTTATATTTAAATTTACTTACTTGCGCAAAATGTATTCCCTGACGGATGAAAACTTGAAGTGAAACTCACTGAAGTTCTACTAGGAAATTAAGGAAATGGTTTCATGTATTTCAAGAATTAATTTCGTTGTTTTGGATATCTGGATATTGGATGTAAGAAAGGTATTTTATTCTAATACCTTTAAAAAACTGTTGTTACGGTATGGAAGATAATGAATATTATTAATGAGAATATATATTTTACCTATTTTTACGTAAATATATTTAGGGACAGGTATTTTTAATGTCTAAGCTTTTTTCCGAAATTTTTTTCATTTTATTTAGTTTTGATTAAAAATGTATGTTTTAATCAATTCCTTTTTTATAATCCATATGATTGGTGCTGAACTCTATTTTTTGCCTAGTTCTAGACCGAGAATGGTAATTTGGTTTGAATTTGACTATCCTGCATCTTTGGGGACCAAGAGCTCGTTTTCTTCTCAATTCTTCGAAGAAGAAACGATTGATCGTAAGGGAAGCGGGTATGGATGAGCGCTGGACTCAATTCTTTGATATTCACAACGGCCAGATGTTCTTCCAGGAAGGTAAGAAAATTGTAGCATTGTTATTGAAATAATACATGTTTAGGTTCATTAATTTGCAGTGGTTTTAGTAATATTAGAACATTTTTTTAATTTTTTAAATTCATATGCTTAGTCAGCTTAAGTTACACCATAAGGATGTTTCTATTGGCTCACTCACAGTTGCAATACATTCATTAATTTTCGCCTTATTTTTAATGGTAAACACGTATGGGATATTATAATGGAATTATTATTCCAATTATGTAAAACTACACCTTGTGCGGGCATAGGAATAGGAGTTGAATAGATTTTTCATGTAGGAAGCAGAGTAGAAATCTCAATTTTTTGTTTTGTAATTTGAGTTTTTTTGTAATTAAATCAATTACATTAAGAACCTATTGTTAATAGTGTTTTAATATAATAATACGATTATATTTGTAAGAACATAACTGACATCACAACTGGTTGTGAAACTAAATTATTTTTCCCTTAATTCATATTTTTGTACTTTATAATGGTTGGTTCCTGGAATTATTAAACTTTTGGTGCTTATATAGTATTTTCTTTGCGTACTTGAATAATGTACTGGCGTATCCTTTACATTTATTAGATCATTTTAATTGCTTCTCTTGTTGTGAATGTAGTTTTTAATAATTCAAAATGTAAAGGATTGATGAAAATTATTTCAAGTGTTTTTTAATTATGTTTTATGGATGTAGCTATAAAGTTTTATTTGAATTACATTTTAAACTCTTGTATATTTTAATTATTTTATAAAAATTGTATTGTTTCGATTCTGTAAAACTATTTTCAATTAGCGATTAATTCATTACTTCTTTAACCAATCTATATATTAATGAAACAATAATTTTGTTCGAATAAATATAATCAATTTACATTAATCTCAGTTTTGCAATCGCTACAACACAGAGCAAACTTACTTCTGGTAGAATACGTCAGCGATTGTTTTCGACGAATGCAAAACTCTAATAAGTAAGATTTAATTAGCCTGCATCAAACTGTTGTGGTTCATCAATGAGCTTACATGGCTGCTTCAGCTCCATGGGGGAGTCTAAGTCGATTGGATGAAAACTGAAAAGGCTGATTTACTTAAATGCCGGTTTACATAGATTCTAGTATAGTGGCCAAATGTGATCGGAGGAAGGGCGGGTAGCAAGAGATTCAGTGAACACACTGGTTATAATTATTTTTAGAACTCCATTAAGTTATATATCATCGGGGGTTTTGTCCAGAAATACTTACCGTTTTTAACCTAAATAAATAAAACATCATTTGACGACAGAATAATTATTAATTTTTTAACATACATTAATATATACATTATAACATACATTTATTAAATTTTTTATTAATTAAAATTTTTCCCTCCTTCTTACGTTTCCGAGATTTTTTTCAATATTCCTTGCAGGAGCAATCCTATCTTATAATTTATTGCTACTTGTCAGAATTGCTACTTTCAAAGAGTTGTCAATACAACTAGTTTCACTTACGATAATAATGTCAATCTTTAAAACAATTCACTTTCATTTCGGTGACGTTTCATTTAACAGATACTCAGATTAAAAACTGATTGAGGCGGCTTCATGGTTATTAAATGGATGTAGTAATTTGCTATTTCCGTTTTAGGAGGTTTGAAAACATGTTTTCTGGTAATCATCGAATTTATTCTGCAAGGATGTTTGTAGGTGTGAACTGTG